GGCGCAACTTGTTCAGAGCTGATTCATTTGCATGCGATTCACATTTTGCCAGTTGCAAGTGCTCGGGAATAATTGTTGTGTTTCTTTGAGAGTGGATGTAGTGAGCGTATAAATTATCAACTTAATGAATTCGTTGGAATACACAAACAACAAATATCAATGACGCAATCGCTAGTTTGTTCGCCATTCTGATGTTTGGATAATAATTTGGTATTGGAGAGCAACCCATTTCATTCGATTAAACTTTATTCTAACGCAAATAGGACGTGGAATAGAGTGATGTCCAGAGATCAGTCCTAGTGCTCAATGTTGACCGACTGCAACTTGATTGCACGTTACGAAATATTTTCGAGAGGTTAGTCAGACGGGAGCTGTGCGCCAGCCAATCCATAAATTTTTCTTTTTGCAATCCATAAGGCAATTTTACGACCACGAATCGGATTTTTCCGTCCGAGATATTCAGAGTGTTTCAATGGTTTTGCTCTTTGATGCTTCGCGAAAGTCCCTTTTATTGTTATTTGCAAATAATTGCTATCGCATCGTGCATCATTGCCGTTCAGTTTGAAGAGACGCTCTCAATAGTTCGACGAAAAACCAAGCTCGTGACTACCATCATCACTAGCAATCAAGTACATATTGTTAAAAATTTTTCCAAAGGTTCTCGTGCGCGCATTCAAAAATGAAACTCTTCTTCTGTGAAAACACGTGATTAATGAGTGTCTGACTTGTCTAGGTTGTTAGTGCTGTTGGCGATGGTTTACTGGAATCAAACTGATAAAACTTGTGTAAAATGATTGTTGTGCAAAAGAAACGATTGAGTGCATCCCTCGTTTTCACAACAATAAAAACAAACACAGAACAACATCATATGAGGGCGAAAAAAGGTTAAAATATCGATAAATCATCGCCCAAAACAATATACGAATCAATGACGACTTTCAGAAAAAAAAATTAATCGCTCAATCTGAACAGTGAACCAATAACATACTTTAACACTCGATTCAGTGCTTCGATTCGGCATCGTAGGCCACACGTTGTATTGCTGTAATTGTTTTTTATCACCATGTTGAAAACATTTTAATTGTAAATCCAGTTCGCCCCTGAAAACATCACATCAATCAATAATAATAACAATAATAATCCCGTCTGATCGAGTCGAATAGAGGACATCAGGAGCGAGAAATTAGGTTTTCAGAAATCAAGAAAGGGACTATGACACAATGTTTCCTGTAATCTCTTACTTCTGTCGCGAAAACTTTTTTTGTTTTAGTGACTAGTACGAAAAAGATAAACGCATAAATTGTTTTAATAAGTGGCAAAGAATTGATGACTGGTTTTGAAAAATATTTCGATTCTTTCTCGAAATTCGTAAATAGTAGACGATGAGAAGTTGAGAGAGGAAGATATGACGGAACGTTCAAAATCGCCCACTGAAGTTAGAAGTGAATGATGGAAAAAGATCCATTTACAGTGAACGATTTAAAGAGAGTTCTTCGAAATATTAATGGTTCGATAATCTATCTTTCATGTTTTGCATGTCATCAAAACGATTTCACATCAAATTAAACAACCAAAATTTGAAACACTTCTCAACAAATCTGTTAACTGTCACTATTCCAATGACGAAATTCATAATTCATTAAGACATTCTTGTCAGATAAGTTCTTAATTAACGATTGATGAAAATGTTTTTGCTCTTGACGAGGCATGGTGATGAGATAGATGATGATGGCAAAGATGAAATGAACCGTAAACACTTCAATGAGTGAATTATTTTTAGTGTCTGTTTAAAAATCAAAAAGAAATTTCATAAGATATACTTTCGTAATGAATCGAATCGCTCTTGTGTTAATGTAAAGCCGTAATCCGACGTTGTTGCGTTGTGATCGAGGCAAAACTGTCGCAAAACAATCTGAAATTATGCTGAGATTATACCGCTCTTGCTAGCATCTTGCTCGTATTCAATAACAATTACTTGTAGGCAATCGACNGTTAGTGCAGATTTGTGAAGGAGCGATTTATGATTGATATCAAACTGCTTGAGTAGATAAGATGAATGATGAAATTCGGATTGAATATACAAACAGACAGATTCGGTTTAAACAAAAGAGATAGGAGGAGCATGACTGAGTGGATTAAACGTGAATTAAGCTGACAGTGGTGATGAAGCATGATTTCCGTTAATGTCAACAGTGGTCAACTCGAAGTTTCTTCGAATGAGGTGAATGAAGCAAACAGATCTCGTGTTTCTCGGTGATTATGTTAGGATATGGAGTGAGGATGGCATAAGACACTGCTGAGTGAATCAAGCAATTGGAAGTGTAATATACCTCAACAGGAATAGCCATTTTGGCTTCATTAGGGAAGGATGGCTGCGATGATGGCATGCACCGAAGGTTGGGATCCGAAGGATCGGGTCGCATTATCGCATTCGGATTCGAGTATGCCACCACCTGCTGACGCGTCATTTCATGTTGCAGTTGCGAGTAGAGCATCGGTGGACCGGCACGGATCTGAAAAGACATTCGAGAATCATCATTAGGAATGTTATTGTTTCGANAAACTTATGCGGCCACTTGTTGAAAACCTGTTTAAATGCCTTTCAAACAATACACATGCATATGTTGAAAGTTCGAAAGAATTTTGAGACGACTGTTTAAAATAGAGATCCGAATACACATGTATGTCTATAACCATATGTACTATGCGGTCACGCAACTGATGTTGCTTTGATAAAAACAATTATCAAGAACCTTCCCGAAATTTGTTAAATGTCAAAACGTTTAAATCAAAAAGTAAATGAATCAATGAGGCACGTACGCGAAAATGACACTTCGCAGATTATAAAAAAGCTGAAAACTAAAAACATGATTTATGTGAAGAATTTAAATCACTGAATACGTTTCATATGCAAACACGATGCATATAATAGTGCGTATGATATTTAGAACAATATGAAAATGAGATAGCTGGTAGTAGATGAGTAGGTAACCAAATAAAAGTTCAAGTAAATACGAACAGTTACGTCACTGAACCAGCAAAATCATGTAAATGGATATGGGAGTGCAAATGACGTCAACTAATCATCCTTGAATTCATTCGATCGCAAACACAATACAGCTTTGACATACAACGNACGAGTTGACATAGTATTGATGGCGAACAGTGAAGTGATTGAATCAATTTTGTAGAATCAGAAAACCTTTGCAGAAAGGTGATCCTTTGGTTGTACAGTAACAATTAATCAAGCACTGTTTTATGAGCAACCCTAAGAGGACGACATGAAGATGACTCAAGGAAATGATTTCAGACCCAGATACGAGAGAACCCTCATGATTCAGTCGCGGAAAGAAACGAGAAAAGAATGCGCGCGATTCAATCGTTGTGCAATAAGGGCTCACCATCATGGATTGTCCTTGCGGGTAGCCCGGTACTGCGGTAGTACCTTGCGGATATGCGGGACTCACTGAAGGCGGATTTCGGACGCGAGGTGGATAGGATTGATGCGGGGGCATACACGCACCATTCGGTGACATCATCATCATGCCACCTCCATTCGCGATCATCATTTGCCGTTGCATTTGGGTACTGGCACACATTGTGCCCGTGCCCATTGCGGACATTCCAGGCATACCAGGTGTACGCTGGGTGGCCGTAGGGATACCGTACGGATACATCGCACCGTTTTCATAGATTGCTGCTGGTTGAGACTGTGCTGAATTGGCCAATTGTTGTTGTTGATGCAATAACATAGCGCGTTGTTGCTGTTGGCCATACATACGCATTTGTTGCATCGTTGAATAAGTTTGCTGAATTTAAAAGGTCATTACAGTCAATCATTTCTTCATATTAATATTTTTTGTCGTCAAATTATGTTTTCAATCTACGAGCGACCAATCTCCACGAAGGCAAATACAAACAAGTAATCATCATAATGAACCGCGGAAAGCGAATATCGCTGACAATCAGCGACGAAAATCACTTCATTAAAAAGAAATTTACTAATCAATTCGTAGAATCCGATACGGAACAAATCATACGTAGAGAAGGAGGACGATCGCGAACTGATAAATTCGTTCGCAGAAGGCATCAAAAAAGAAAAGGAATGGACCTAAATTCGTACCTGTGATCGGTATTGCATTTGCATGGCTGATCCTTGTGACATCATCATTTGTTGCTGCTGCTGATGCATTATACTGTAACCGCTCTGCGGCATGCATGCTGCACCTTGTGTCATACACGACTGCAATTCACATTCATAAACTTACGTCATATCAGAAACTATCAACAACGAAACCATTTTGTGAATTTCATTTGCATTCATGTGCTTGCTTGCAAGCGCGTAAAAACACATCCAATCACTTTCGAATGACCGAAATTTTAACTTCTCTTCGAATCGCAAACGTCACCTTTCTTCCGCATCTTCGATTAAGAAGAACGTCACATTACTTTATAAGTCATTAGCATGATTACCTATCACTATAAGAGCTTGACTGCGATTCACTCCTAAATCTTAATTAATAAACACTGAAGTATTTGAGAACCTCGTGCGATAATCGCTCCTTGGGCACACAGAGAAATCGCTTGCTTTGGAATTATTCAATTCATTGTAGCTGTGAAGATTGAAGCGTGTTCACAGGCAAAGGAAGATGATTCACAAGTTTAACTATTACCTGATCATAAGCAGGTGATTGCGCCATCGAAGCCATGCTATTAGCTTGAGTTTGCGACGGGAACGATCCAGGCCTAGCACCAGTCGGATCGATAGGATAAGCAGATTGTTGTTGTTTTTGCTGCGATACAGTCGCCGAACCCATGAACGACGGAGACGCAACTTGTCCTGAAATTAAATTCCGGATTATGGCGACGTGTGATCGATTTTCAGATATGGTATTTTAGACAAACACATACGTGATTGGAATCGATCTTGCACGAGTTATAAAGGGATCGACATACTGACACATGAATAGAGGCGTTATTCTAGATTTATCTTTGCCCTATTCGAGAATAATAACAAAAAAAAGTTGTGTATGCAATAATCAAGTTTGGCAGCTTGTTTGCTCATTCAAAAAGCCAACGAGAGACATTTTAATCGGAAATAACTGTGAAAACATTTATATAGATATTAATGAATAAACACGAGCGAAAGATGCGAATAGAACAAAACTGAACAAAAGTAACGATATAATCGATAAATATGTTAACGAATTAGATCGTTGTCGATGAGCATTGAAATGATGGAAACGGAGAAAGGAATTGTGCGAAGGAAATTGAAAAGAGATTCGCAGTATGGATGAGCTTAACGCGTATTCACATGATGGATATGGAAATGTGCATAATAAAACATTATGAGATGATATTTTAGAAATTTTGGAACGAGCCAGTTGGAGAGAGCTGCAGAGATCGATCATGACTTGTGAGAGGAATAAACATAATTTGGCGATACAATGGCTGGCGATTGAATTGCACTTTGACGGATATACGGGGATAAAGATTGGTGGTTAGAGTGAGATAACTTATGTTTGAGGCGCTGAGTACAAACCAATAATAATGTTAACAAATACAATGGTGTATCACTTGTGATAAACATCAACAAGTTTATTAGTCTGAACAACTTCTGAGATGAAATTCTAACGACATAAACGAATAAGAACATCAAGTACATATAAAAAGAAGAAATTTGATTAGGGAGACGGGCGGACGATGTTTTGTTTTCAGTGAACGTTATGTTTGTCAACAACTTTTAAAAAAACTTATGCTCAAATTCAAAAAANAAAAAAGTCATTCCTTACAGGCAGGAATTTTTTCTTGTTTCTCAACTTTTGAACATGGAGATGTGGATAGGATGTGATTGAATTGCGGGAATGATGGTGACAACATGCAGACACATTAATTCGTTTCAGTGAAATTGCATGCTTCGAAATTGCGACGGTATCCAATAAACGGTGGAATGGAACAGATGTATGTTCCGTTGGAGCGAAAGAGCAAAAAAAAGTTGACGTTGGTTCATTAAATTATGAATAGAATTCATCTTGTTGCTTGATGATTTTACGCATTCACTTGGTGTTATAAAGTGATTCGCTACAATCATAAGAAATACAGAATCGAGTACCCACAACGGAGTACATTATCATCAATTCATTCTTTTTTTAAAGTGATTTAAATTTTGATCGATCGTTCTCTTTGTTAGACAGTATGACGCTCTGTAGGTTGCTACTTCATTTGTTAGTTGAGAAACGTATAGAGGATGAGCAAAATAAACAAATAAACGGATGAATTTATCAATGATGAAAAGATATTGTTGATGTTCATCGTGAAGAAGATGATGGTGACGAGATGAAAATTTGAATTGAGAACTGCGAAGTGGAAAGTGCGACGACGTATTATTTCACAAAATCATTCCACACTCAAATAAATGAATCGACAGAATTAATTGAAATACACGCATGTAGCAGTTTGTTTTCATGCTTCTTTCAACACTGCAACTTTTTTTTGCGAAAACGAATTCAAAAAGAGACTCGCCCTCAAAAATTAGGAATTTTTCAGATTAGGAACTGCTTTCAACGCTTGATGATCGCTAACTTCATCAAGAAATTGGCTTTGGCCTGAATGAGTGCAACGAATGGCTTTGCGAATGATGATTTTTGGAAGAGATAAGAGCACCGAAGTCATAGCGTGCACAAGTTATTTGCAGGAAATGCGATGAAGAGTACTTTGAAAAGGCATCGTTTGGAGAGGGCCTTTTGAATTTTTGGTGGGATGAATTGTAATGCAGAGCTCATTAACGAAGTTAGCAAGACAACACAACTAGTTCTTGATGGTCATCATAATTTTGGAAGCAGCAGAGAATAAAACAATGTTGTCGTATCACACTGTCGGTACTAATAAAACTGCGAAGATGTTACTTGCAATACAGAACTTCCTATCACCTTCATCGCTTTTTTCGTTGATATTATGATAGTTAAAAACTTGAAAAGTTACCGACAGAATTCGTCAACAATCATCATCTCAAGATCAATAGAGGACCACCTCTAAGTGACAGCATCGAAATGACGAAAAAAAGCAAGAACAAAACAAGAATGAAAATCAGTAAATTCGCAATTAAATCATTCGCAATTAGTAAATTCGCTTTCTTCTGAACAACAATTATGGTTGCTGACCAAGTAATAATGATCGTGTTGATGGATGAACAAGAAATCAATTTTTAAGTAAAATCACTCACAGAACCGTTTGAGATGACTGCTCAAAAATGTGCTTATTTGGAGTGATAGATACAGTTCAAATCAGTTTAATCAACTCATAATGAGCAATAAAATTCGATATGAATTTTCGAATAGATATTTATGTATTTGTCGTTGAAATGACCTCCTCCTCATGCACGTGCACACCTCGTCAATCGCTCCCTCAACCGTGTCATCATGCAATGAACTCGTTTTTTCCTGCTCACTCTGAATCGAACCTCTCATCGTTGGTCGCTTTTTTTGGTTCTTCTTCACAGAATTCACTCACTATTGATGACTGATAGGTAGACAGTGGTGAAAGAATGAATGAATATATTTGGTTGATGAAGATTGCACAAAAAGATATCACCGAATCGCACATAGCATAACGTGGATTTTTTGAAGAAGTCAATTACGACCTCAAATGAGGACGCGTTACGACGCGACACAACAATGATAGTCGGTCAGCAACATATTATATAACCATTCATTCATCAGTCTAATAATCAACCACTTTGTACCATCAGGAAGGGGGATGGATCAGTGTGATTGACTAACGCCTCGCCTTACAAGGAGCATATTTCGCGTTCTGAGTAAGATTTCAAAAGGATGATGACAACGTTGGAAGCAAAATTCTACTTGTATCGAATCTCGAAAGACTAGAATGATTCAAGTTTCACGCAACTGAGCATCATCTAGCATAATTTTTGAGGGTAGATTAGTGAACATTCGCGACAAGTTGATAGGACGAAATGTTTGGTGCTCGTATTTTGTGAAGTGGGATTGCAGAATCATGAAGTCAACAATCAATTCCGACGAACTGTAATGTGAGCACTGCAAAATTGTGAGGAATCATTGAAAATGAACCA